ATACAATAATAGCTGTTCTGCTATAAAGCCTGCTTTTGTCTCATGTGCAGTTTTTGTTGACATTATCAGAGGTGTTCATCAAATGTTAGTTTAGTCAAATGTAGTTAGTGTTGTTGTTGTGCAGGACTAAATTAGTTTTAGAGGTTTTCAAATATTCTGCCCTCCTCATATAGTACGTAAATATGGAGGACTAAACATTAGAAACACCTCTCAATATAATGTAGTCCAGCACAACAGCACCTTTATCTATGACCTCAGCAATACACATATAATTTGAATTTCCGACATTGCCAGCAAAAATGAAAAATTATAAACTTCATAAAGATGGACGTAATGGCAAGTCTGGATTGCATTGAATTGTAATAGTGGACACAGAGTATACATCCAGTCATTTTGCTGACCACTTTGAACAAGCTTGTTGAGTCAAACTCACCACTGTTAAACCAGAATTTGGACTCAACTCTAAAAAAACTGCTAATAATTTGTATTTCTTCACCCATTGTTTTGACTGGCAGATTTTCTGCAGCCCGGTTGCGGCAACATTCAACAATCGCAAATGGAAATATCCATCACAGAAGAGGCAGAGATGTGATGTTTTCTATTGAACTGACAGACCGTAATGCAACGCAGCCACAAGACATGCTATGTTCTGAGTAATTGGTGCAACTCTTTCCTGGAAAAGCACCAACTCTCTTGCATCTACTATTGCGATTGCTCTTTCCACCTACACTCGCAACCTGTGGCTCAGTGCAGAGCATTCCCGACATGGCACTCTGGGGTTTATCAGAAAGCACTGAGGGAAAAACAAGACATCACTGTGCTGACTTAAATAGAAACAGATTAGGTGTGAGGCTGAGGAGGCACCAAATCAGTACATTATCACTTAAAATAACTGAAATACAAATCGAAGGGATGGGAAATGATTTGAGGTCAGTTTTTAATGCTAAACTGAACATGTATGAAATGCTTTTGCTTCTCACCTTCTCCCTCTGTATGGCTTTCATCTTCTGTAACTCCTCCTCCTCTTCTTGTCTCTTCCTCTTGTCCAATTCTTCCTTTCTCAGCTTAAAACAACATTAAATATGTTACCCATCGCAGGGGGGAAAAGCACAAGGTAACGCCCTGAGCATCTCAAAGATGATATGTTTTAATAAACTGTATGCTTGACATATTTATAGACCACATATGAATGACTGATATGTTTTATGTACATTTTATGTAAATTTATGTAAACTATCAGTTTAAAATATATTTAAAAGGTGCATATGAATTGATTGGAAGAACATGATTTTTGGAAATCTATGATTAAGTACCTTCTTCTGCAGTTTGGAGCAACGTAAGTCTTTAAGCTGCTTCTCCCTGGCTCCAGCCAATGTTACATTACCACCTTGATAAATTCAACAACAGATTGCACATATCAGTAAGTAAGCATGTGCTTAAACATAATGAAGTAGGAATAATGTTATACACATTTCAGTTGGGTGTATTTGTTGCTCAGAGGTGAGTAAAGATGTTTTTTTGTGTTGGTTTACCAAGCTTCTCTGGATTCAGGTGCACAGGGGGCGCTCTGTTTGTCTCTTTCCATCTCTGAAGATCCTCCTCTTCTTTCTGAGCCACTACAACAAATTAAAGCTTTGTCACTTGGGAAAGAAATTTCAACATGTGCGAAGATAAAATAATACAGCTAGGATAGATGAAAGCAGCAGTGCTGTCAGCTTACTCATTTTTATCTTGTTTCGCCGAGATTCATTTGGTGGGATCAGGGTGAATCCACCTAAGCTGAGACAAGGACAGGGACAGAACGATCTTGAGTGATTGAACGATTTGTGGATACTGTAAAACCTCTGTATGTTTTGAGGATTAACTCAAATGTTTCTGTATCAAAAACTGTCATAATACAATACTTGTACAAGCTTCAACATAATAAAAGTGTTTGTATGCAGCAAGATATGGCAACATAAAAGTATAGTTTTTAGCTCCAGACAGTAGACTTTTTCAAACTCAGGCTCAAGATCCTGTGACGAAAACGAAATTAGAGGCCGAGCTTGATTTCTGTTCTTTTGATTAACTTAACTTGATTGTAGATTAAATGCCAGCATGGGGTGCAATGTAACACCCTTCTGGTCACAGTCTGTCTCTCTGCAGCCACATTCCCTATTCCCCAGGCTGCTTCAATGCCATTTTCAATCCATCCACCACATGCCCTAGGACTTCCCCATCACCTGACAGGCAATTGCAACTCCCTACCTGTCCACCAGGTGTCCTTAGACATTTCCCCCAGACTTCCTCATTTACCCGCTGACCTGTCCACCTGCCTGTTGCCTACCTGTACCTACCTGTAAGATATTAACATGAATAAATCGTTGAAGTCTTTCTGCTGCTTCATCTGTCTGCACTTGGGCCCAATCCTGCATTTCCTTAATATTGACACACTTACTCAAATACTGTGCTCAAGTACACTTTTTGCATACGTATACTTCACCTAAGTTTCAGTTTTATAGTACTTTGTATTTTAACTCCACTGTATTTCAAAAGAAAAGGTTTAACATAAATAAACACATGATCGGTTTATACAATGTGATGCATTGTATTATAGATTAAACTACCCATCAGTATAACAAGCTGTTAAAAGATACGTTAAAATGCTGTTTACATGAACGAGCAATCCAAATCCCAGAACAATGCTACTTTCAAGTGAGACAGGACAATAATGATTTATGCTAGAATCGTTGCTTTAAATTCATTATTAGTAATTTTGTTATACAAGTATTTCTTCTTTTAGTCTGGTAAACCACAAAGCACAGCCAAGATAAACGTATTTTGTTAGACTACTCTTAATACACTTAATAAAGAAAGTCCTTTAGACAACGTTGGTAGCCTTGCGTGACACAAACAGCCGCGATTTACGAGAAACAGTGAAGGCACCCTTTCGTTTTCCCAATCACATGAAACGAAAGTGAAAGTGAGCATCAGCAGTTCACTGCAAACTAAACAATAACACAAAGTAGAGTCAATATAAGTGTCGATATGGTCTCGTCTGTGTATCATAACAAATCCACACGACATGTCAATGTAAAGAGATTTTGTCAGACTTTATATTTTAAAGTAAAACATATGTATAACTTACTACTGTGGCTGTCTTCCCGTCTCTTGTGGATTTCCACTTCCAGGTCCATCTCTGTCGGGAATCTCAGGTGTATGATCATCTTCAGAGACCCCTGATGTGCTGTCTTTTAGGTAGGAAGAGTTTCCCCTGGTGTTCAGGTGGTCTCTTGATTTCTGGTTCTGAATAGGATACATTACGCAGGTACTGAAAGGTTCACGAATACACTGATGTCTGACTGAAACAAGTTGTAGCCGACAGCCCTGTTGTTACTGCACCTTTGCACAGTCTATGAACCACATCTTTCATTTACACGGATTATGTGATGTGATACCGCTTCAGCAGAGTGGGAGGTGCTTCAGTGCAATAGCGCCATCTGCTGGAAAAACCCGGGGAGGACGCTTGTCTTAAAGGCCCTGTAATTTTCTGACCATGAAAAATATTCAGATAAGCACTTAAAGGTCAACCATGTTGAAAGAAGTATTCAGGTACCAAGTAAAAGTACTTACTTACTCATTGTGAAGTAAAATGCTCCCTGTCAGTGTTTCACTTTATGTGATGTTTCTGGATCAATATTACTGCTACATTGATGTGTATGTTGCATTTTACTGCTTTATGTAGGTGTGAACAGTTTTTTTTGGTATTTTAATCTACAGCAGAAGGGTGCAGTGGAGTAAAAATTACGATATTTGCTTCTGAGGTGTAGTGAAGTCAAAGTACAAAGTTTTATAAAATGGAAATACTTATTAAAGTACATTCCACCATAAAGGGTCAAATTGAAACAAGAAAAAGACAACATAACACTTTTGCATTTCTCAAGTGACACCTGTATTTTAACACATTACAATACAGTAATACATCCCTGTATTACTACATAGGTCACCTGTCATCCATCAACCAAATATTCAAGTCAGTTCTATTTTGGTCTGTGCAAACTCACTTCAATACTTTTCTGTACACACCTACTTGGCACAGTGTATTACTGTGGTACAATCATCGTACTGTGTATATGTTACACATACACATGTAAATCTGATGTAAATATTCTGCACATCACTCCACAAACTGCTATATTGCACATATTCTTTGATATTTTTTATTAATGAAATGAATGAAATAATAAATTGTTTATATTTATATAAACATATAATAATGCTCTCCCCCTGTATTATGTTTTGACAACACAAATCTGTAATGCACAATTTCTTTACATTTTTTATTTACAAATTCTATTATTCTTTTAGAACTTGCAGATCTGTTCGTTTCATATTAATATATTTTTTACATTGTCTAGCACCTTATCACCATAGCAAATCCCTCGTTCGTGTAAAATACGACTTCGAAATAAATATCTTTCTGAGCCTTATATTCAATGCAAATTATAATAATTTAATTTGTTTTGTAGTTTGACTTCTGCAACACCACAATTTTCCTTTAAATACCAGGCTACAATAATCTGTCCTTCCATCCGAGAAGAATATTTGTTCTTGTGTCAGTCCATTAATGAAAATATGAACAAGGTTTCAGTTCAGATCCCATCTTAAATGTTGACTTGGGACAGAAAGACATTTGGACATATGATTTACATACAGCGCATAATAAACATCCTGTAATATGACACTTAAGCTTAAATGTTCACTCAATGAGGTGAGCTACAGAAAATTAAGCGGCAACTATTTTGATAAATGAATCAATTTCTCAGGGAGAAATGGCAATAATGTGCTGTTTCCAGCCTCTTAACTGTATACTTGTGACTTTTCTGTTTTATATTTATGTATATTGAGTGTCTTTGGGTTTTGGAATGTTGGTCGGAAAAAAACATTTTGAGATGTCACCTTGAGCTCTTCTTTCAGATGTAACACAGAAAAACAAAATCCCACTCTAAATGACACCATAGTAAACTAATGATTGTTTATTTTCAACTGTGTAAATTGAAACTGAAAGCATCAAAATAAATCCAGCACTACTAACCATTTTTTCTTTATTATGCGTTAACAGGACCTAACAGGCATAGCATTGCTTAAAAACCAACAGATGGACTGTTTGATGAAGAACTTTTGGCAGAATATGCATCATTCATCGATTGTGATCAGTAAAAAGAGTACAACATCTACATGTTATTTTTTTTTTAACAAGAAGAGTCAGAACACTTATTTAAAATGTTATAAATTAGTTGTAAGTCCATATATTATGTGTTTCATGCTGCAGACCAGTAAAATGTCATGGTATACATGGCCACTCTAGCACCATGCCGAGAGGTTTCATTAGTGAAATACAGGTTGACAGTGCTGTGGTTTTTAACTGGCACTAAAACATATGTTGCCTGAGGTATTGTTAAGACATTACAGGACATAGAAGATGACCAGAATCAAACAATGACTTTGACACAAAACGAGTAAGGCAGCAAGGGTCTAGAGGCTCCCTCGGACAGATCCTGTCCCCGGTCTAGCACAGATCACAGACAATACTGACAGCACACATCACGCTCACTTCTGGGGACATAGTGCAATTAGGGTAAACAAGGTCACTGAGGACCTGGCCACTCGTCCTTGTGCCGGTCCGGAGAATCTTTCATGATTACCTGACACAAGTATGGCCGTCTACTAGTGATGCATTAACAGGGATCATGGCCTACACTGATAGAAGCCTCCTTCGTTTTGGACAAGGCACCCTACATAACCCGACCTTCAGTTAGGGAATGATGTGGTTTCAGTCCAGAGATCTCCTGGAGCCCTGGGCACACTCCTCCCTGCTCCAATGTTCATTCCAGTAGCTGTATAGATGTGTGTGTTTGAATGTATGTGTGTCCGTGTGTGCGTTGAGGCTGGGATGTGAGATCACAGTTTGGGCGGGTTGGCTAGCTTAATCTTCAGGTTCTCTGCAAGCTTGTCCAGGAACTCAAAGGTGTTCAAGTAGTCAGCACGTTTCACACTGCGAAGAGAGAAGAAAAAGGGGGAGGGATTAAGAATATTTTAACACTATATAATATTTTTCACTTTGGGAGGTACTGAGTGGTACTGCTGCACATATATAGCAGTATCTAGGAATGTTGCCATCAAAGCCAAAATAAAAAAAAGGTATATATATATATAGCTGTATAATACCCTTCATCAAGAACTCAATGGGGCTGTGGAAAACAAATCTGGAAGCCAACTCAAAGCCAATTTCACAAGTCAAAAACAACAAAGACTGGCTACGGATACTGGTTCCGAAGTGGAACAACCATCAGTCACCTCCTCTACATGGATGACATCAAGCTGTATGCCAGAAATGAGGAGACATCGACTCACTGATCCACACTACCAGGATCTACAACAACGGTATTGGAATGTCGTTCGGACTGGACAAGTGTGGTTGCATGGTATCAAAAAGAGGGAAAATGATCAGAACCGAGGGGGTTGAACTACCAGAAGGCCAGATTGCAGATGTTCAGGACAGCTACAAATACCTTGGGGTGCCGCAGGCTAATAGAAACCATGAGGAGGCAGCAAGGAAGTACACCACAGCCAAATACCTACAGAGAGTAAGGCAGGTCCTGAAAAGTCAGCTGAATGGGAAAAACAAGATCTGAGCCATCAACACATCCGCCCTGCCAGTCATCAGATACCCCGTTGGTATAATAGAGGCCACTGACATCAAGACAAGAAAGCTCCTCACAATGCATGGAGGGTTTCACCCCAAATCCAGCACCCTGAGACTGTACACCAAGCGTAGCGAGGGAGGCCGAGGGCTAGTGAGTGTCAAGACCACTGTCCAGGATGAAATGCCGAAGATCCAGGAGTACATCAGGAAGATGGCCCCCAAAAGATGAAGGGCTTAGTGAATACCTCAGGCAGCAGAAACCCGAAGGTGAGGACAAAGAAGATGAAGAACCTTCAGGGAGGGACAAGTCGCTGCACGGCATGTACCATAGACAAATAGAAGAAGTGGCTGATTTCAAGACATCCTACCAATGGCTGGAAAAGGCTGGACTGAAGGACAGCACAGAAGCACTATTCACGGCGGCACAAGAACAGGCACTTAGTCCAAAATCAATAGAGGCTGGAGTCCAGGCAGGATCCCAGGTGCAGACCGTGCAAGGATGCCCCTGAGACAGTACAGCACATAACAGCAGGGTGTAAGATGCAGGCAGGAAGTGCGTACATGGAACGCCATAACCAGGTAGCTGTCATAGTGCACAGGAACATCTTCTATGAGTATGGGCTGGAAGTCCCAAGGTCAAAATGGAAGACACCTCCTAAGGTAGTTGAGAATGACCGAGCTAAGATCCTGCGGGACTTCAAGATCCAGACTGACAAACTGGTGATGGCTGACCAACCAGACATCGTGTTGATCGACAAACAGCAGAAGAAGGCTGCAGTGATAGATGTGGCAATCCCAAGAGACAGCAACATCAAGAAGAAGGAACACGAGAAGCTTGAGAAATACCAAGGGCTGAAAGAGGAGCTAGAAAAGATGTGGAAAGTAAGAGCAACAGTGGTGCCAGTGGTGATCGGAGCACTGGGTGCTGTGACACCCAAACTAACTAGAGTGGCTACAGCTGATTCCAGGTAAAACATCAGAGGTCTGTGTCCAGAAGAGTGCAGTCCTAGGAACAGCTAAGATACTGCGCAGAACCCTCAAACTCCCAGGCCTCTGGTAGAGGACCCGAGCTTGAGGATGACACATACCACCCCGCAAGGGGTGAGAGGGGGATTTTTTCCCACAGCTGTAATGTAGACTTTCACTGAAGCTGGTCTGCACCTCCTTAAAACTGCAAGTAGGATGTCGGGCAACAGTGGATATGAGGACACAACACAACAGCTGTGATTGGTAAACCAGGGCTACTTGTGTTACTGCTGTGAGTCCGTGGTGAAGACAACATTAAACAAGATGACAAAATGTTTTGATTATTCCCATTTCCTGGAACACATAGAGAGCAAATAGTCATATTTTTTAATTTATCGTCAGTGTATACCACATAGTGAATAAAATAATGTTGGGTTTACATTAAATGCACAAAAATTCCTGATATTGGACTCGAGATAGTGGTACAATTCGGTGGCATCCTCTACTAAACAGTAAATCAATTCTTATTATCTACAGCAGGAACGCAGTAGCACCTGACGCAGAGACATATTTTGAGTGTTAGATATTGAAGAGACTTACTTTGGCAGGCCTTTTATGCAGATAGCCAAATCCTTGGTCATGAAGCCAGCCTCGATGGTCTCAATGCACACGGCCTCCAGTGCCTCAGCGAACACTCGCAGCTCGGCATTGTTGTCCAGCTTTGCCCGGTGGAGCAGGCCCCGTGTCCATGCAAAGATGGAGGCTGTAGCACGCAAACACCCGGTTGTAAGAACAGGATTCAGTCAGTTAACCCATTTACAGTATATCACACAATGTATGTAATATAAATAAAGATTACATTAATACAAAAATGTTTGAGGGCTGTGTTTAGGTAGCTAAGCTCTATGCATATTTTTTTTACCTATGGGATTGGTGGAGGTCTCTTTTCCCTGTTGGTGTTGCCTGTAGTGGCGAGTCACTGTGCCGTGGGCGGCCTCAGACTCCACTGTGCGTCCATCAGGACAGATAAGCACACTGGTCATCATACCCAGGGAGCCGTAGCCTGAAACAGGGGCAGTGTAGTTTTGCAGGGGTCAGATTATGAGGAAAGTTTCTCCATTGTTCTTCACATGACTTCTGGTGGAGATGTGTTGCTTCTACCAACCTTGCGCCACAGAGTCAGACTGCACGTCTCCATCGTAGTTCTTGCAGGCCCAAATGAAGCCTCCCTCAGATTTCATGGCCTGGGCCACCATGTCATCTATCAGACGGTGCTCATACCAGATGCCTTTGGCCTCAAACTGGGCACGGTATTCCCTGAACACAAGAAGAAGAAGGTGGACACCAACTCTTAGTTGTGGTCTACACCTGGTATAAAAGTGTGTGCACATGCGGTTGTGAAAGAGAGAGAGGGTGTGTTCATATGTTTGCATGGATTTTAAAAGCCCTTACTTCTCATAGATCTCCTGGAAGATGTCTTTGAAGCGACCGTCGTACTTCTTCAGGATGGTGTTCTTGGTGCTGAGATAGAGCGGCCAGCCTTTGGACAAAGCCATTTGGAAGGAGCTGTGGGCAAAGTCCCTGATGGACTTATCTGTATTGTACATCCCCATGGCTACACCTCCTGTGCCTGGACAGACAAAAATAAAAAAACACATCAAGTACAGTACATTCACCTACACTATGCAATTCCATCATGTACAGATCTACAGTATGCAAAACTTTATTTGTGTGGGTGCGTTCATTATTTCAGAATGCAGTATAGTATGACAGAATATAAAAATATAAAAATGCTTCTTTCAAACTAAGATTAGAAAAGGCTGAGTGATGCCAACAAGCAAACGGGATTTCTTTTCAGGGCCTTTCCCAGTGACTCAGTGTTTGCTTTTAACTGATAAAAAGCATAACAGGTGAATAGTTACAACAGAATTCAAACTAAAAAAAAGATACCCCATATCTTATATTTTCTCTTTTATAATTTGAACACAATAGAAAATATGGTTGTAAAAGCTTTCCTCTGGTGCCAGTCCAGCCTAGTTCTACTGACTTGATTTAAGACTGATGTGTGTATGTGCACACCTGAGAAATTTGTGCAATGATACTAAAAGTATACTGTGACAATTGTTTGGTCTCTAACTGGACTGACAGACCAGACGGCTTGAATTATCAGCCCTTTCGCATGTTGTGAGGGTCGACGATCGCAGGTCAGGCTGGCTGTGTTCTTACCCACAAACTCATGGATGACATATTTAACTGGCTCTCCCGTTGTGGGCGTGTAGGTCATCTCCACTTTCCCAGGCCCGGGCACCACAAAGTCTGTGGCTTTGTACTGTGGGGGGGGGGCACATTGAGAAACACAAGAGGTTATTGGAAAGCAGCAAGGTAGTATGACCCAACTAAACTATGCAACCATTAAGAGACAGCTTTTGAAAGGTTGGACCCTGCCCCATAACATGGTGTTAGATGAAAGTTCAAATAAACTCCTCGGCAGGACTTGGCTGTCATCACCAGTGGTATTAGGTGATACAGTATGTCGGCACAGTATATAATATATACCTCTGACATCCATGGAATATTATGTAACTAACTAACTAGCTACCATTTGACACTTCACCTGGATTAGTCTCCTCTGAGGGGACAACTGTTGACTTTGGCACAGCGCCACAAGCTGACCTATGACTTCGTTCTGTAACCTAGCTGCAACTTGTCTAGGCTGTAGAGGTAGTACAGTGTGGTGCAAAGGACAGCTGATAAAATCTAATTATTGCCTGGGCCTCACTGATACCCTGACTGAGATCATGCATGAGTCGACAGCAAACCAGTAGTCAGTTTGTCACAGAGGTTGGTTGGAAAGATAAAGGAGTTGGTTTTACTTTCTTGGCAGTTTCAGTACAAATCAGGATTATTTAAACCTCATATGTAAGGTTGCCCAGTTTAGACCAGGATTTGTCAAAGAGTAATTTAACTCCAAGCCATGTTTTTAGTCATTTTATATAGTGAAACATGAACCATAACACAATTTCACTTCTGACGATTTTACCCCAACGTGCCATTTTTCAGTATGCAGAAACAACTGACTCTTTCTGGTACCTGATCTCCATGGGCGTGCCTGCCAATGATGATGGGCTTGACCCAGCCAGGTACCAGGCGGGGGATGTTCTTGCAGATGATGGCCTCCCTGAACACTGTGCCTCCGAGGATGTTACGGATGGTGCCGTTGGGCGAACGCCACATCTGCTTCAGCTTGAACTCTTCCACGCGATTCTCATCTGGCGTGATGGTGGCGCACTTGATGCCCACGTTGTAGCGCTGGACTGCCTCCGCCGCCTCAACCGTCACCCGGTCGTCTGTTGCATCTCGGTTCTCCATACCGAGGTCATAGCTTTGCAGGAAGAGACAGAGACAATAGTTTGAATTAGTAGTACCGGAAAGAAAGCTAATACATGCACCCATAATGTCCTGGAAGTGTGTTGAAATATCTGTGACAACTCCTAAACTTCACTACAGAACATTTTTCAATACCTAGTTTGAGCAATATAAACATGTTTGAATATGAGTATAATAAGATATACCAAACTACAAGGTGTATCAGTGTGAACTTAAGACCTAAGGTCAAAAGATAAAGAAGTTTTCCGATTCAGATATGGAAATACCTGATCTGAGAGATAAACAAGCAATCTACAACAATCTAGGGCTGGACACGAATATTCATCTTGGGTACACATCTATTTTCAATTTTCACATCAAAGGGAAAATAAAAGGAAGTCCTCAGCTGTGTGGGAGCACTTTAAACTGAGTAATGCCAGCAGTAGTGTGGAAGTTATGGCGTTTATTAATTGCTTTACATTACAGATCAAAACAGTCAAATTTCCTACATTTTAAAATAAATCAGTAGGCTGAAACAAACAAACAACAACATAATGAACACATTTAAATAATTATACTAGGTGGATTGTAGAAGAACATTTAGTAGGCTAGGCTATGATAAAAGTTAAAAGTTAAATTTGCATAATAATGTGTTATTTAGTTCTGCTACCGTAAATACCGCTCATTCTGTCTTTCCCGGGTTCTGCTCTGGACCTGCTGGGATCAGACTCTCACTCTGGACTCTCAGCTGCAGTTCCCCCTGCTCTGTACAGCAGCCACCAACCCGGTTCTGCACCCATCTCTACCTCGCTCTTCCCCTGCTCAATATCCGATCCCTTTACCCTGCAATATTTCTCTTTTATGTAAATTCTCCCTTTCTTAGTCCTGCACTTGGGTCTGCTAGCCTTGCCATAACAATGTCAAAAACAAAGTATTAGTAATAATCACTTAGTTAGCCTAGCTATAAGAATAAATAAACAGAGAGCTCTCTCTGTTTTTCTCTCTCTCACACGCACAGACAGACAGACTTACACACCCATGCCCGCCGTTATCTGTCCCCCATCCGATCCCCCCTCACTTAACAGAACTTCTTGGGCATTTATCCTTCTGCTGTTCTGCTTCTATCTATGAAATACATAGCTGTAGATCGTGAAATGACAGCCTGCTTATCAACAGACGTTTAAACAACCGGCATAACGGGACCGCTGAGCGCTGCCGTGAGGGGGACCGTTTATAATCTCAACAGCAGAGGCATGGAAGACCATAAACAAAAGCACTCAGTAGTGATTATTTATGCCTCAGTATACACCATTGCACAGATGCCCTGGAGGACAACAACCTAATAAAGCACTAAAAGTGAACAGACTTCCCACCGTTTAAGTTGGCTAGAAGCTAGTTTATGAATGTACAAGAAGAACTGCGAAATATAATCTCACTGTGTTGAAGGACATTAACGAGTAGTGAAGAAGAGTGTGGGCTTGCTTCCAGCTTGAGGAATAAGTCAAATTGCTGTTGGGGCTTTATATTCACATTATTAATATATCTATTAATTATATTTCTTGCAAGACCTGACGCAGTAGTCGCATCAATAATAGCCATTACCCTTCAACCCCACGTCTCACTCTGCTCTACTTTTAATGCCTGTTTCTCGCCTTAGTAAGAAGGAGATCTGCAAAAACCTGCCAGCAACACAAAGACAAAAGGAAACAAGGAATGAATTGTGCAATGACGACTGGCCCTCTGCCAAGATAAGTGGAACGGTTGCTCTATTTGTTGCACTAGTGCTTGAGGTAAAAATCACAGCTTAACAAAAAACTAAGAGGGGACAAAATATACTTCATCTCACAACTGAACTTAGCTCATTGTGCTTACCATTCCCTTCAAGTATTAGCCTATGGGCATTGTTTGACAGCAGCCATGACCTTTTACCTACTTTCTTCCTTCCCTTCCCCCGAAAGCTGGTGCAACCGTAAATGTCGCACAACAACAGATACATATCTCAGTGGAATCAGAGACAAAAAAGAAACAAAAGCCTTAAACAAACAGTTTCAGGTTTAACAAGAATTATTTGTATGTGTTTGATTACAACTTCATGTGTCTGTTCAACCTGCATGATTTATTCAGCAAGTTAATGCTTTCCTAGGGCAGCCAGAAAACCTGAACAAGCTTTAACCTGTGCTCTTCACGGAACGCATACGATATGGGTTTACTTTTTTTATGTGTGTTAAGTGTTTTTAAGTTTGTATAGTTTGTTTTTCCAGTGGCTGGAATACATGACAGTTCTGCCCTTTGAGAAATAGTCATTCCAACAGAGTAATTATTACTATACTATAATGAATCAAACCTGTACTTCCAATGCCACGTACAGAATAAATCATTAACTTTTATGATGCGACACAAGAAGTGATGTATATATATCTATCGAATCTATCTGAAAAGGGAACCTAAAGTTTAAAGTGTGGGATGCCCCGCACTTTAAAGAGAGAGGGAGATATGATTCATTATCAGGGATGGGAACATTAGGGACCATCTATGTGAACTTCACATAGGAGGTCCCTGCAAATAACATACAACTCCGAACAATGTCCATGCAAGAGATAAGAGGAGGAGTAAGGCCACGGATGGTCCCGTTGCTTGCCTAGAAAATTGATTTGAGCGGTGATCTCCTCCAATTATAATGGCAGTAGTAAGTTATAGAAAATTATGCGCTTTCAATGTTATAAGGCAAGAAAATATTTACAGTGAAAAACTACAACTATTATCACACTGCTACAATTTTAGAGGACTTTTCTGATGCGGATGAGCTCATAAAACACAATCGTGTGCCAGGATAAACAAGCCAATCTAGAAATTCCAGCACTGGAGGATTCACTTGATTTTCTTTTAGTTTCAGTCTCAGCTGTCCCTGCTTGGAGCACAAGTTACCTCAGTACAGAAAGTCCTGCTATTTTAAAAAGCAACATGAATGTAACTTAAAAAGCAAAGTTCATCTACAGTGGGGGTTTCACCTGTGCAGGTCGAGCTCCAGGTAAGGGAAGATGAGTTTCTCCTTGATGAGCTCCCAGATGACTCGAGTCATTTCATCCCCCTGCATCTCCACCACAGAGCCTGCCTTGATCTTCTGAGACATCCTAGTGGTAGACACAGAGGGCACGATAAAAAATATATATATCAAAGAGGAGAGACAAAAAGAGAAAACCTTCCAGAGATATAGTGGGAATGGCATTTTATCAGGCTAAAAATAACATACATTTGCTGTTTTATTGGGATAATTACAATAAAATGTAATACTTGGTCAGACAAAATAAAATGTCTGCACATAAGATACCAGGCCCTTTGGCGCCAGGAGCTTGTGATTCAGATTGTTCACCGTTTTGTAGCATTATACAGTAAAGTGTTAAGTAATTATACTTTTTTTTTGTGAATATCTGAATAATCAACCACATAAGACGATATCTGTTGTCGCCCTTTACTCCATTAGCCATGAATGAGCGACACTGATACCACAGACAAAAAGTTTCTCTCTATACAAAGTAGTCTATCCTCAATGAATGGATTCATTCAAAACATAAAATAGGAGTAGCCAGACCAGTGACTCAGCATAACGTTAGATCCATAAATCATCTACCGTGTAAGTCTCAAAGTGAGCCAAGCAACAAAACCCTGCAGCTTAAGCAAGATTAACCGGTGCAAATTTAATCCAGAGCCCACTGTTTCTTAATGGTCCATGTCACGTCAGCTGCCTTTACTGTTTAGGACTTCTTTGTGACTTATTCACAACATTTTTTACAGGACGCTCTTAAAAGTTACACAAGTAGACAGGCCGATCATCGCATGATGGGGAGGAGACTGCATCCTGGCGACAGTTCAGACTGAAGAATCGGCTACACACCGTTAACACAACGTTTAACGTAGTTTTAATAAATAACGTTATGCCACTAAATGACAGTGTAACACACGAAGACGGGGAGGAGTTTGCAAAAACGATGTGGGCCGCTTACAGTCGGGCTGCCGTACATCCGACTTCTTAGTTTCAAGAAAGGCCTCTAAAAGTGACACTAGGTTGAAGATTATTTACTCGAACACTAAAGAGAAATCAATACAGCCTCGTTTATGTTATTTACACCGATGTCGCTTACCAATGCAGTAGAACAATGAGATAACGTATCGTCGCCACCTCTTCGTTCTGCTGCATGCACAGTTTTATTTTATTTACAATCGCCTACCTGATTGAGTTTAAAGGTCCACGACACAGCCAGCAACGAGATGAGGGAGCGGAATGATGTCCTGTGCTGCAGGTTCACTCTGAGCTGGAGCGGTTCAGGTTGATTGAGGAACGATAGGTAACCGGCTTCCGACAAGATATTGGCCAATCCGGGACGTGAGGAACACCTAACCGCCAATCAGATAAGCCCACACAGCAGGAAGGGCGTGACTCGTCCGGGCGGGGTCAGCTGACATGGCTCGCTGATTGGTCCAAGATATGTGCTGCTGTCTTCCGCAACACAGAGTAGATATGTTAAAATTATTGTTGTGTAATTACTTTGTATTTATCACCGTAATTGCCATATTAAATAACAGTTACTGTCTTATTTGACATTGCTAGAAAAGGAACATTGCCGGTGGCCTTCGACTAGTTAGATCTGACAGATGCCTTTTAAGCCTTAGGGTGACAGCAAATAAAAAAACATCAGCTGTTGTTATCAAGTGAAACAATTCCTTCACTCCTGGTTTCACTGGTAAACCACCACAAGCATGACAATTACCTACAACAAACATTAGCCTATATTCTAAGCAGACACGTTTTATAAATAGCCTACATCAATCATAAAGTAACATTTGTATTTCAAACAAATGGAAAACTTATTAGCAAATTTTAACAAAACTCCTTTCACCGCTATGCATCATGGGATGCATCTGAGTTGGAAGATGACTTGGTTGCAGGTGGGCAGGTGCAGTTCCGCCCCCTCCGTCTCTCTCTCTCTGTTTCTCTGCAGGTGTTAAGACGCAGCTGGCCACATGTTTTGTGTGTATAAAGCGTTTTCAGACAGGCAGTGACCATCCTCCTGCGTGAAGAAAACATTAAGCAGGCTTGTCTATAGGCTATTGTTGAGTTTTAAAAAGTTAAAACAAACTTAATGTACTCCAGTGTTTCAGTGCTTTCCTTCAAATGTAAACCTGCAGGATTTTAGGCCAAACGATTGCATTAGAATGTTGATTAAACCATTGTTTGTATCCTCTTTGTAATGTAAAGAAGACGGACACCTCTTTGTTTAGTGCCAGAAGGACAGTTTTTTGACTGTTTCATTGACACTTAAGATAGGGTGTCAACCATTTTGTAGACAAGCCCTGTTGTTCTCCATGATTAGTTTAGAGCAAAAGACTGTTTATTCCTGTAGATTGAAGGGGGTTTCACGTCTGGGAATTGGCGCTCTTTTGTTCGACCAAAAGTAACATAGAGCAGTAAGGTACACCCTTCCTAATTGGGTGACGAAGAAGTGACCAAACGACCAATGGCTATGGTCCTGGGCCATTTGGAGGAAAAGACCCGCCTACATACCTGGAGGATATTAACAATTCATTTTGCGAGAATCAGGACTGTAAGCTGTGGATCTGGGAGGAGAAGCAGCTTTTCAGTCCACTGCTGGAGGCGGCTTTAGCTCAGTCTGTTCGGACTTGACTGAAAGCTGTAAATCTGAACGGAGGACCAACTTTTCAGTCCACTGCAGTGTTATTTGTTTGTTCTGTAATGCCATCTCTTTATTCACTAATTTTTGTAATTAAATCTTTTTGTTAATTTTCATTGGACTGAGCCTCTCCTTTCTCAAAATCTGAAAAAACGCAACACTATGTAGTATTTAAAATATTGAAAGATAGGCCCTAGATGTGTTTATTTTAGTGCTGTTTCCTTTATGAACACCCTGAACATTGTAGGCTAATCAGTAGGTTTTTGTAGGCCTAGGTTATGTTCAAGTTCAGTGAACATGGACGTGTGACATTATTGATATGATTAATGCTTGTATATAAAGATAAAATTTCAACATTTGAGCACACTCTAGTGGTGAAGTAGTCCACAAACCAACGGGTGACGCCACGGTGGCCACGTCCACTTCCTTTACAATCTATGGTCTGTTTACTTATGGTGGATCTGGTTATTTGGGTCCTTAAAGACCTCCCTGAGGCATAGCCAGATTAACCCATTAGAGGGCCCCTGGACATATATTTGCTGTTGGGCCCACACTGACGTCCCAGTAATGTGGTAATATGGACTTTCCACCAATGTCCAAAAGAGTGACCACCACTCCAACTCCATCTGCCTGTTTGATTTGATCTAATGCCTGTTTTGCAGATGCAGGAGTTGGCTGAGCCGGGTTGCCTGCTCATACCTGCCCATCTGGGTTGGGCTTCCTAGAAGGCATAAAAGGACTTAAACTTAATTGATGGTCAATGTCTATTTGCTGACACATAAAATAATATTTTATAGGGTTTTAGATGGCAATGCCTATGGTAACATAATATAAAGTAAAATAAATACCTACAGTTGAGAGATTAATTTGAATTTAATCAAATGTAAATTTTAGGAAAAAGGCTTACCCATGGGGTAAGACGCTCCTCCATAAGCTTAATGTCTATTTTCTGACACATTAAAGAATATTTTATTGATTTTTGTTTCTTTATGAAGGCCATGCTTTGGGTAACATATTATAAAATAAAATAAATAGCTACAGTGGGTACGGAAAGTATTCAGACCCCTTTAAATTTTTCACTCTTTGTTTCATTGCAGCCATTTTCCAAAAATCAAAAAGTTCATTTTATTTCTCAGTAATGTACACTCAGCACCCCATCTTGACAGAAAAAAACAGAAATGTAGAAATTTTTGCAAATTTATTAAAAAAGAAAAACTGAAATATCACATGGTCATAAGTATTCAGACCCTTTGCTCAGTATTTAGTAGAAGCACCCTTTTGATCTAATACAGCCATGAGTCGTTTTGGGAAAGATGCAACAAGTTTTTCACATCTGGATTTGGGGATCCTCTGCCATTCCTCCTTGCAGATCCTCTCCAGTTCTGTCAGGTTGGATGGTAAACGTTGGTGGACAGCCATTTTCAGGTCTCTCCAGAGATGCTCAATTGGGTTTAAGTCAGGGCTCTGGCTGGGCCATTCAAGAACAGCCACGGAGTTGTTGTGAAGCCACTCCTTCGTTATTTTAGCGGTGTGCTTAGGGTCATTGTCTTGTTGGAAGGTAAACCTTCGGCCCAGTCTGAGGTCCAGAGCACTCTGGAAAAGGTTTTCGTCCAGGATATCCCTGTACTTGGCCGCATTCATCTTTCCCTCGATTGCAACCAGTCGTCCTGTCCCTGCAGCTGAAAAACACCCCCACAGCATGATGCTGCCACCACCATGCTTCACTGTTGAGACTGCATTGGACAGGTGATGAGCAGTGCCTGGTTTTCTCCACACATACCGCTTAGAATTAAGGCCAAAAAGTTCTATCTTGGTCTCATCAGACCAGAGGATCTTATTTATCACCATCTTGGAGTCCTTCAGGTGTTTTTTAGCAAACTCCATGCGGGCTTTCATGTGTCTTGCACTGAGGAGAGGCTTCCGTCGGGCCACTCTGCCATAAAGCCCCGACTGGTGGATTGCTGCAGTGATGGTTGACTTACTACAACTTTCTCCCATCTCCTGACCGCATCTCTGGAGCTCAGCCACAGTGACCTTTGGGTTCTTCTTTACCTCTCTCACCAAGGCTCTTCTCCCCCGATAGCTCAGTTTGCAGCTCTAGGAAGGGTTCTGGTCGTCCCAAACGTCTTCCATTTGAGGATTATGGAGGCCACTGTGCTCTTAGGAACCTTAAGTGCAGCAGAAATTTTTTTGTAACCTTGGCCAGATCTGTGCCTTGCCACAATTCTGTCTCTGAGCTCTTCAGGCAGTTCCTTTGACCTCATGATTCTCATTTGCTCTGACATGCACTGTGAGCTGTAAGGTCTTATATAGACAGGTGTGTGGCTTTCCTAATCAAGTCCAATCAGTATAATCAAACACAGCTGGACTCAAATGAAGGTGTAGAACCATCTCAAGGATGATCAGAAGAAATAGACAGCACCTGAGTTAAATATGAGTGTCA